AAATTCATGCTTTTAAGAAATTCCACATATAGCTGTAATAATCACATGTGATTCACAGTTTATAAATTAATATTCAAAAATATAGGTAAAACTCACATGACATAACTTTAAATGCTTTAATCATATGTGATTATAAATGTAATCACACATGATTTGGAATAATCATTTGTGATTATTCATAATCATTTGGGCTAGAATTAACATATGATTTTGACAATCACATATGATTACAATATTGAAACAAAATCACATGTGATTTAAATCTATTCACATTAGAAAACAAATCACATATGATTCAAATCTGTTCAAATAGGAAAATCATATATGCTAAAATAGATATTTGATTACAAAAAGAAAATCACATATGATTAAATCTGTTCACAATATAAAAATAATATGTGATTTCCAAAAATCTTATTCAGATTAAAAAATCACATGTGATATATCACAAGTGATTATGTTTATAAAAATATATACTATGTAAATTCACATGTGATTTCAAAAAAATTGTACCTTTTTTGGCAATTTCTTCATGATATGCCACATGTACAATCTATGCTTTGATTGAGAAAAAACAGAATCAACTGCTTGCTTTATTGTTGGATCTTGATCAGTTAAAACAAGTAGTGGTTGTTTATTTGATGAACCTTCAGAAACTGTTCAAGAAGCCATTTATACAAATCCACATCCTCCATGCTTAACAACCCAGCTCCAACAGTAACATATGATTTATGATGATCAATGACAGTGAATAGAATAAAACCCAATGTGTACCTATTTCATGTACAAGACATAATGAAAATACGATTAACCATATTTAGAACGTATAAATAAATTATATAAGAATGCTTGATGAGATGATCAATCACATATGATCATAATCAAAATCACATTACAAATACTTTATGAGCATTCATTCAATCACATATGTTTACAATCATCATCACATCAGTATACTTGTTGACAATTGAGAAATCACATGTGATTAGAAAAATAACTACATCAGAATACTTTTTAAGCATTAATCAATCATCAATCTCATACGATTATAGTCCATATATGATATATGATTATAATCATAATCAAAATACCATACATGTTCAACATTTATCAATCACATATGATTAAAATAATAATCACATCAGTATACTTATTCAGAAATGATAAATCACATATGATTAGAAACATAAATACAGAAGAAAAACTTACTTATTTGTACGAACGGTTGCATCAAACGACATAACATCTCCGAATTCACTGTAGTATGCTTTGTCTGTTTCATCGACCTAAAACATTGCATTTAAGACATTATTCTCATCACATCTATAAAAAAACGAATAATTCGGATAGTTGTGTTTCCGATCAGCCATCTTGTTAACAATAAGTTGAGCATCTCTGAAGCCAATAATAGAGCCCATATCCCTCTTAAAATTTCTGTAATCTACATCCTTGCCCCTTACACACTGAAAAATGCATTTCAAAGTTGATTTGAGTTTGTATGCTTTTGTAGCACCCATTTTTGTAGTAGAAGCCCATACAATGAACTCCTTGTCAGAGTATGAAAGAGTCCTTGTACTTTTCAAGTGAAATGTTTCTTCAAGCTCGTGGTTGTTATTTTCTTGAAACTTATCAAAATTTAAACCTATACTCATACGTTTCTTTGACACGTTTCACAATATTTTGGTTTAACAATCTGTAACCCTGTAGATTGTATTACATTCCGTTGGATTCAATTTTGGTTTACCCATCCTGTTACAAACCAAAAACCTATGCTTTATTATATCACCAACTTTCCTTAATGTGTTAAGACGAACATCAAAACCAACCTTCTCTGCACATCTTTTATAAAAATTAACTCCCTCATCCACATCTTTGAACTTTATTTAATTAGTAGGTTTAAATATTCAGTAACATCTGGTTTGATATCATACATAACCTCTAACATATAAAAATCTGAATCGTCCTACTCTTTGAATTTGCATATTCACCTGTATGATCAAATATGAAAAATGTTTTAATTATATATTATTATAAAAGAAAAAATTGAATATACATAAATGAATGCAATGTAAAATCACATGTGATTATTAATAAAATTCCTTATATAATCACATGTGATTAAAAGAAATAACTGAACATAGATAAACTAAACATACGTCAATATTTATTCAAATATCAAAAAATGGATAATCACATATGATTAACACTATATTAAACATACTTATTAAATATCAATATTTATTCAAATATCAACAAAACATATTAAATTAAATATCAATATTTATTCAAATATCAATATTTATTCAAATATCAACAATATTTATTCAAATATCAATATTTATTCAAAAAAAAAAACTAATGACTAATCACATAAGATTAACAAAACATATTAAATTAAAAAAATAATGAAGTACTTATAATCACGTGTGATTATATAAGGAGTTCTTTATTAATCACATATGATCATATAAGGAATTCATTATCAATCACATGTGATTGTACATTCCATACATTGATATATATATATTAATTTCTAAAATACATCAATAATTAAAAAAAAACAATAACTTGCTTATATAATCATAACATAATAAATAAGTAATTTTTTTACCTGAAACACTAATGTTTTGGATTTGATGACTGAATGTTCAAAATCTTCACACTACAAGAAAAATGACTTACAGTCACACCATAAAAGTGTGACCATATGCGTATAGTGACATTTTATTTTTTCAATGAAAGTGTGACGGAAGGTGACGCCATCGTATGGGTCTTATGGTCACTTTAAAATGTAGTGTCCATATGATATGAAAACATGTGGTCGTATTATAACAGTGTGGCAAATGTGTACGGAATTTTGTTCCTTAAATATCCAATATTGTAGCGTTACACCGTCAGTAGACACATTTATTTAGTAACTATGGTGACTGTATATCACCAACTTGCGACATTCATGATGTTTTAGTGTAGTTGTTTTCTTTTATATTGTCACACAATTTAAATTTTATTAAGACTATTATGTATCTTTTGTAAACATGTAATTACGGTGAGCATGACCATGTTTGCTAAATGGTCACATGTAATTAATTCCATAAGTGGCGAATTGCTAATAATTAGTCACAAAATATAATCATTTTTTGTGACTATAGCTTATCGTATAGAGACACACAATTAAGTGAAATACAATCATAAGTATTATAAAGACACACATTTTGTTAAAATTAAGAACTATTCGGTATCGTATTAAGACTATTGGGTATATTTTAGACACATAATTATGGTGAACATGTCCATGTTCGGTAAATGGACACACATAATTAATAAGGTAAGTGACGATTTGCTAGTATTTAGTCTCAACAACAATCAATTATGGTATTTATTTGCCACATCAATTTTTTTGTGTTGTTATTGTTGAACTTATCGTCACAAAAACTTTAGAAAACATGATTTTAAAATAATTGTAGACTCATAATTACTTTAGATTATGGTAATTATTACCTGTTTAGCCATATGTCAAAAAATGAGATAATGTCACCATTATATAATTTTAGAGACATTGAAAAACTATAAAACATAGCCAAATTTATATTAAAGTCACAATAATTCAGTTTTTGTTGTTACTTTTTCTGTACTGTAGACACATTAAAAGAATATAAATTAACGTCATCAAAACCCGACAATATGAAACAATATCAAAATTCAGAATTAAATGCTATTAATAACTGAAATCCAAATCCATACATTAAATTCGTAATTAAAATACCATAAAAAATTGTACTAATTGCAAGTATTAAAATATGGTAAATAAAGCAAAAACATCATAAACCAAAAACTAGACATAACTAGGCATTCATCGTGTTGGTACTGCTCCCTGTCTTCTTGAGAAGGGTGTCAAATGATATATAAGTTGGTTTCCGTTTCTTTGAGTTTTGAAGATCATGGTCTTTGAGGTGATATCATATTTAGTACCTATACCAACAACATTGAAACAAAAAATGAGTACATTAAAAATTTAGTAGAGTAGTTCATGAAGGAAAAAAAGTGTAATGAACAAAGAAGTCAACATAAACAAACCTTTAAATCGGCTTTCACAAGGTGTTTTGGCCATGGAACAAAACTTTTAAATGCCGACTCAACTGTTTTGAATTCTACAGTTTCATGGGGTAGAAATGAATCTTTTTTTACCAATTCAAGATTATTGTTACGGCTTTTTGTCACCGTTTAAAGTATAGCTGATTTTTACAATTTTGATCCAAGCAATATAGTCATTTACTTAGAGAAGGGACCAAAAACATTACAAAAAACTCAAAGAAGGAGCAAAACTGCAAGAGAAAATTGTTGGGGAGTAAAATTGAAAAAAATCAGCTAGACTCAAGGACCAAAAATGTAATTTAGTAAATAAGAGAATAATGGTAATAAATCAACATTTTAGTTTTTATTGTTTTATATTACATACCTGGATCAATTCCATTGGTGTTGGGAGAGTCGGATGGAGCCAATATTGTAACATATCGGATAACAACATTAATGTGTACAGACAAAAAAAACAAAAAAAAGGTATACGTTAGAAGTTTAACATGGGAGTTTGTAACTATTTTTGTAAAAAATGGGTTTAGATATTAATAATACCTGCAGTATACAGGATGTATGTTCCAGAAAGGGGAATTCTTGAAAATGACATTAGAAATAATGATGCTTCTAGAATCCTTGAACTCAACAAGATTTGGTCTAGTGAACTGCAAGGTTCTCTATCTCCACATGTTCCACCACATATCACCTTGCCCATATATTGTCCCATTCTTACTTGAAAATGATGATCAATTCATCAAAATAATACGTAAATATATAAAGCAATTTCAAGAGCAAGAATTTATATATTATACATTATACATACCAGTAATAATGACATCATGGAGACCATCTCCATGGATGAAGCTCATGTACCTTCCACCTGTACATTCTTTTCCTCTTCCATAAGAAGGCAATGGAGCAATAAGAGGTCAGTTGGTTGTGTCCTGAACATAATCACAAAAGGATAATAAAGTTAATTAAAATCATATTATGTTATACTATTTGCTAAATAAATAACTTTACAGATGAATTCTTTATAAATATAAGAAAGTATGTCTTCAATATAGTTGTCAATATTGATTTTGCACATACCAACCCACTAAACTTACCATTAGCCATGTTGTTTTCCGAAATAAGTTTTGCTTATGTTAATGCTTTGTCGTCCCTAATAAATTAAACTTTTTGCTCCTTTAAGAAATCATTAACTAATCATAATGGGCAAAGTATTATACTATTATTCTCAAAACACAACATTACTTCAATTAGCAACAATGCAAAATAAGTACAAACTGTTTTTGGGAACTATATTTAATAGTCTGGTCTCCAAATAACAACAATGCAGAATAAATACAAATTGTTTCTGGACTTGTGGATGCACTGTGAAACTACAACTGAAAGAACATTAAGTAATTGTTTTTCAAATATGAAGAGATTGTTGTTGTCCTTTTGTTTTGTAGCAAATTAAGTCTGTTAGTTCAAAAGTCAATAAACTACACCGTAACTTGACAAATTCAACAACTCATTTCAAAAATTGTACATTAAAATCAATGAAAAGACAGAGTATAGAAAAATTATTGAAATGACTTCCAATTTGAAGTATTCCAGCTACTGAAACTTGTTTTAAGGTATGAAATCTGTGTGTAGATTTCTAAGATTTTTGCAATTAACTGAGAGCAAAAAGTTAAAATGGATCTGAGTACCTGTGTAGCTTGGATAACAGTGCCTTTAGCTAGATACAGAGTCATTCTACTAGTAAGATTGAAGCTCTCTGTTAGATAAACACTAGGAGGAACGTAAAGAAGCGTCCTTCCTCTCCTCTTCAAATGCTCAATCTGGTAAATCGCCTCCCTAAACGCTTTTGAATTCAGCATTCTACCATCTCTGACAGCACCAAAATCAGTTATTGAGATCTTATCGCTGCGGTATGCCACCGACACAATTTCAGAACAAGTAACCAATCCAGCCGCCGAGCAGGAGCACTGCAGGAACACTAATACGATGGCAGAAGGAACCATATGTCATCGATATGGCTGAGGGGCGATGTGTTGGAGTCGGGGTGGAGGAACAGAGAGGCAACGGTGACCCCATGAGAGAACAACGAAAAAATAAACCCTAGTGGTTCAGATTATGTTGGGGGTAATGCGAATTAAGAAACTGTAAGGCGATTTACCGAATTGAGAATATATTCATTTTGGAATTTTTGACAAATCTTCAATTTTGAATTTTTTGAATATATAACCGGATTGAGAGTATATTCATTTTCAAACTTTTGTCAAATCTTTAATTTTGAAATTTTTGACAAATCATTCAATTTTGAGTTTTTTGAATATA